ACCCTAAATTGTTGTATGAATTAATTTACATAATTAATTTAGGAATGTTATGAAAATATGGAATTGAGTTGGAAATAATGTAATTGGCTCATTATAAGAGGAAATGGTGGAGTTGGATTTATTAATCACTCACTTATGAAATTGTTGTCAAATTATCTGTTAATGCATTTATTATCTGTTTAGAAATAAATTGCTTTGAGTTATCGGTGAAGGATAGTCTTGATTGTTGTAGACAATGCATGATGATTAGACAAATTGAAACTAATCACATTGAATATGTCATTGAGTATGACGGTTGGAATAATACATCGAATCTGTGAATTGATTAATTGTGTATATGATAATTGTTTATATACATTGTATTTGTGTGGGAGGAGATAGGAGATGTACTCCACGGTTTGGGAGGAGATAGGGGATGGACTCCTAAACCGGATATTGTTTGGGAGGAGATAGGGGATGGACTCCATTGATACAGCAAATATGTGTATTTATTATGAAGTATGGAAGTATTTTAGTTTGACATTGATACAGCAAATATGTGTATCTATTGTGAAGTATGGAAGTGTTTAATATGAGTTGTTATCTCATTTGAATTGTTAATAATGGAAGTATTGTTGATATGAGATGTAATCTCATTCAAATTGTTTGGCCAGGTTCTGAGCCATAGTTATGAATTGAGAATTAGATAAGTAATGAAAAATGGAATGAAACATGGACATAGTAGTCATGAAATTGAAATGTGTCATAAGTTGGTTTTTTGTGAGATTAAACATTTATCCAATGCTCATGTTTTAGTTATTGCTCATATTATGTTTAGCATATCTCTACTGGGCGTTGGCTCACCTTATATAGGGCATTATTTTCAGGTGCAGGTGATATGCCGCCTCCAAGATCTTAGCTTGGGAGGTTGTAGAAGTTGAAGACTTCTCTTTTTGTGATTAATTGTGTATTACATGTAAATCAATGTGAATTGATTAATTGTGTATATGATAATTGTTTATATACATTGTATTTGTGTGGGAGGAGATAGGAGATGTACTCCACGGTTTGGGAGGAGATAGGGGATGGACTCCTAAACCGGATATTGTTTGGAAGGAGATAGGGAATGGACTCCATTGATACAGCAAATATGTGTATTTATTATGAAGTATGGAAGTATTTTAGTTTGACATTGATACAGCAAATATGTGTATCTATTGTGAAGTATGGAAGTGTTTAATATGAGTTGTTATCTCATTTGAATTGTTGATAATGGAAGTATTTGTTGATATGAGATGTAATCTTATTCAAATTGTTTGGCCACGTTCTGAGCCATAGTTATGAATTGAGAATTGGATAAGTAATGGAAAATGGAATGAAACATGGACATAGTAGTCATGAAATTGAAATGTGTCATAAGTTGGTTTTTTGTGAGATTAAACATTTATCAAATGCTCATGTTTTAGTTATTGCTCATATTATGTTTAGCATATCTCTACTGGGCATTGGCTCACCCTATATAGGACATTATTTTCAGGTGCAGGTGATATGTCGCCTCCAAGATCTTAGCTTGGGAGGTTGTAGAAGTTGAAGACTTCTCTTTTTGTGATTAATTGTGTATTACATGTAAATCAAACCAAGGGCTTATTTTGTGTTTAGAGTTAGTACTCTTCTTTCGTAACCAAGTGTTGGCTTGGAAAGTTGTAAGCCAGTAGGGCATTTACTTTTGATGTCAACATGTAATACTTTTGTAATGAACATTCTAATTAATGAAATTATGCTTTACTCTCTTATGTCTAAACATGTCAAGATTGTATGATTTATGGGTTTATTTTGAGAGCGTTACAGACAATATTGTCCATACATACATATATATATATATATATATTTTCTTGGACAATATTGTTCATGCATATATATATATATATATATCATAACTCTTTTGAAGAGGAATACTTTTATTTTATTTTATTTTATAGAAGTTTAAAAATATTGTGTTTGTGTATTTTTGGTTGGTTCATCTAGTATGTACTCTATTTTTTGTAACAATAAAATGTTATTGTGAATCAGAGTAATATGTTATTGTTATGTTAATGTGAATCAAAGTAACATGTTATTGTTAAACAGAGTAACATGTTACTGTTTACGTCAATTTTGACGGTATTTTTTATTTTTTTTTATTTTTAAAAAATTTCATAGTCAACATGATTCTAGTTAGGATTTTAAAAATACTAATTTTATTAAAAATCGACATTTAGATCAAAAGTTATATTATTTTAAAGTTTAAAATATTAAATTACTCACTAAAGTGCATTTTGATAATAATGTCATGTATAGAACTTTTTAAAGAAAACTTTTTATACTTGTCCTTAATACATTAAAATTTTATTATGAGGGGGCTTTGACCAAATCCCCAATCTTAAAAAATATTTTTTCTCATAATATACCCTAATCAATTATACATATTCCTCTTATTCAAATTTCTTCATCTTCTTCTCATGTTTAAATTATTTTCTCTTTTTCTTCTTTATCGCTCCAAAATTCCAATCCACCCTACCAAAACTCATCATTATTATCAATATCATTATTTTTTATTAAATTATTAGTTGCAAATAGAATGAGAATAATAATTAAAACAGTTTTTTGACGTAATCTAATCAAAAAGGAGGTAAATATTTATCTATCTATCTATCTATCTATATATTAAAGAATAGAGAATTTCTAATGAGAAGACTCTCAAAACTCTCATACTATTTTTTAAAAAAATTATTTTTTAAATAATTAAAAACTCTTCTATTGGCTAATTTTTATTGAATCATTTTTAAAAAATAGCAATTAATCCATTTATATTCTTTGATTTATGACTTTCAAATTAAAATTATATAATCCATTTCAAAATTCAAATTTAAAATGGATAAGAGATTTTCAAAATATTTTAGAGATAAAATATCAGTTTAACTCTAATTCAAATTCCTTCATCAGATTTAAACTTTTAGAATAGAAAAATTGTTAAAAATTATAAGTGATAGACACAAAATAGAGTTAAAATTTGTATAATAAGATATCATAAATACTTATTTTTTAACTGCACGAAATTTAAATTTTAAAAAATCATAGGTGACATTTAATTTTTAACCTATTACGCCCCAGTTCTTATTTTTGAGATTTTATTTTTTTTTTATAAATTTTTAAAAATTATAAGTGATATTTTACTCTTATTCAATTTTTAAACTACTACCATCTTCCATTCTTCTATTATTAGAGTTATAGTTGAATTTTTTTTCCAGGTTTATCTTATTTTATTTTTAAAATTTTAAATTTCAACTTTATTTATTTTTTTCAATGTTCATTTGATATTTATTGAATTTTTCTCTATCTCATTTTTCTAAAATTTATTTAATTTTCTCTTTCTATATTCTTATAGTTTATCTTCAAATTTAAATTTGATTTTTTTTTATTTTTATCTTATATTTATAGAATCCACTCTTACTTTTGATTTTCAGTTGAGTTTATTCTTTTTCAAGAATTTATCTAATTTTCTCTTTCTATATTCTGTAGTTTATCTTTAAATTTAAACTTAATTTTTTTTTATCTTTATTTTATATTTATAAAATTTCAGTCTTACTCTTCCTTTTCAATTGAATTCATCCAATTGAGTGTATTTCAAAAAAATTGAATTAGTCATGCATATCTATATAAATATAGTGAAATCACTCAAATCTATTATTTAAATATCTATCTAAATTAATATCATAATATATATTTAATTTTTAACATGTTTAATATTGTTTATCACCTTTTGTTACTTACCCATACATAACACAGATTTTATGCTAGTTCACATAAATATCAAAGTATAATTATTGATTTCTGTGTTTTTTTTTTTTTGTTACATAAAAGTGAATATTCAGCCTGCTTTCTATCATTATTGTTCGGACTTTCAGAACCAAACAAATTCATTTTGTTCGGTTCTGGAAGTTCGAATGTGAAGTTCGCCCTCTCCTTCCTCGTTCTCCTTTTCCGGTGTCGCTTTCACTGGTGTCAGGTTCCTTATATGTACGTGAATAAAATAAAGATTTTTCAAAAGTAATTTGGATTTTTTAATTTGTTTTATTTGAGTGTACCTCATAAGGGCAATTTGGGGGAAAAAATAAGGTAACTAAAAATAAATTGTAACCCTAAATAATTTAATAGGGTGTACTGAAAAATTGGGCTCACTTAAATATTTTTTTGGTGTAAATAGAATCCCTCCATATTCTCTTATTATATAGTATAAACCCAGCTCGGTCTGAAATTTGTCTAGCCCTATCATGCTATAGGGATGTTAAAAAAATCAATAAAACCGGTAAATCGATCCAATCCAGTCTAAATTATCTCTTTGATCTGATTTTTATTAGTTTCAATTCTAGTTCTAAAAATGATGAAACCGTTCAAATCGGTCCGTTCCTAGTTCCAAAGCTTCCATATCGAGCCAAACTGTGACACATTTATTTATTATATTTTTTATACTTTTATATGTAAAAATTAAAATATGAAAAGCCTATTATAAGATTTAAACACTAACATTCATTGTAAAATTAATTATTAATAATTTGTTTACTAATATAAAATATAGACAGCATTGATAGAGACTCCCTCCAATCACCACCTCCACCACCACCCCACACACACGTGGCGGGTGGTAATTGGAGAAGAAGGAAAAAAATAAATAGTTAATGAGAGAGAGAAAGGGGGTCAAATGGGATGGGAGGAAAAGGAGATTTGAAGCATTTTTCAAATATATATCATATTTATTATTATATAAAATTTTTAAAACTGTAAAATCGAATCAATTCAAACCGATTTCTATAATTCGATTCTAGTTCAGCTCTATTGTTTAACTATTTGGTCACAGTTCAAATTTTTTTGAAATCGATTCTCATGATTCAATTCCTAATTTACACTAAAACCGAACTAATCTCATTCGTGTGCCCTATCATGCTATGGCTATTTTTGAGATGATCATACGTGCATTAGGCGAGCCAGGGTTACGTAGGCCAGACCTACCAGATCACTTCTCGGGACAGAGTTTAACTGCCTTCGGACGTCTACATCGCAAAAAGTCCTTTTATTACCGGTCTCTTTCTCACGCTTCGCTCTCTCTTTTCTGTCTTCTACACTCCCCCTCAAAACAAAAGCCTCTCTCTCTCTCTCTCTCTCTCTCTCTCAAATCTCCAATTCACCAATCTCAATCGGTCTTTCAATTCAATTTCACAATCGCAATGTCACATTTCTCCTCACTCGTCTCCAATCAAATCCGGTTCTTGTTGCAGAGCCTCAACGATTCCAATTCCGACTATGTTTTTCAGGAACTCTCTCAGGTCTCTCTCTCTCTCTCTCTCTCTCTATATATATATATATACATGCACATAATGTAATACACGCGAGCGTGAATGGTGATGATGACCCTGTCGTAGTCGTGATCACTCTAAACTGTAAAATGTATTTGAATTTTGATTATTCTACGTCCATGACTGAAATAATAATTGGAGAAAGTGAGAGAAGATAGAGATGAGCGAATAGAGAGAGAGAGAGAGGCACAATTGTTTCTATGAATTGTACATGTCTATTACACAAAGAAGGCACTCTATTTATAGAGGATGCCTTGGATGCCTATGAACAATAACATAATGCTACACTAACATAATGCACTAACATAATGCTACACTAACATAATGCACTAACATGATAATGCTACACTAACATAATGCACTAACATAATGCTACACTAACATGATAATGCACTACATAATGATACACTAATATACACTAACAATGACAATGATCATAGCCTAATACTCCACTGAATTTGTCATTTTTAATGAGCTAGATAACTTTCTTTTACCCCATTTTTCCTGTTTACCAAACAATCGATGGTTGTTTCCTACTGCATTTTATTAACTGAATCATTACGTGAATTCAAGTCTTCCAATTCAAACACACGCGTACATTTGCATACATACAGTATGTATCTGTTCGCCCTATCTCGATAGACGTGATATCCTCTAGAATTTATGTAGTTTAAAAGAGTTTTTTTTTTTTTTTTTTTTTTTGAGTTTAAAAGAGTTTTTTTTTTTTTTTTTATTGGTTTGGTTTGAGTTGATTTGAATTTTCATTATCCAGAAAATGATGTGATCATAGTTGTTAAAGCCTCAAGGATTTAAGCTCTCGCAAGGGGCAAAGTAAAGTGCGCGCTTCAATGAAGTAAGGGGCACGTGCGATAGGCTTGCATATTAAATACACTTGCAAATAAAAACAAATGAAAATATGAAACACGATTGAAAAAAACATAAATTAAAATAAGCTTTGACATATCAGCAAAGAGAATAAAGTAAATGCATATACATGTAACTTTTTGCAATTATATGCATCCACTAAATAAAATGCCGATTGCATATTTGTAATAATGCAAAAAATAATTGTACCCTTTTAAGTATATTTGTAAACACTAATAATTATGCATTATCAAGTAGTCAAGCATCAGCTCAATGTATAATTAAATAAAAAAATATATTAAAAATGAGTACACACAGTAATATATATACAGGACCGTGAATATGATATAAGGAAATTCAATCAGTGAGTGTGGGAAAATTAGAAAGTAAAGATGAAGATATAGTTGGATTTAAAATTATTATTATTATTATTATTGAATATGATATAAGGAAATTCAATTAGTGAGTGTGGGAAAATTAGAAAGTAAAGGTGAAGATATAGTTGGATTTAAAAAAAGAAAAGAAAAGAAAAGAGGTGTATATTTCTGGTGCTTGGAATCTAGCAGAGAATGAGACACTTTCTTTGATCTTGACTAGCTTGGTACTCTTTTTGGGGCCTAGGTGTGCCTTTAACAACTATGGATGTGATGAGTCAGTTTTAGTGTTTCTGGTGATGGGTTTGTGATTTGTGAATGGAAATATTTCATGGTCTAGTGCAAGCATTTCTAATTGATTAACTCATTGCTTGTTCTTTTTTTGTTGGTGTAGTTTGTTGAATATGGATGCGAGGGTAGTATATTGCTGCTTCAAACCTGCTTGGATCATACAAATTTTCGTGAGGGAGACATGCACAACATGCAGCTTAAGCCAGATTTATTAGCTGCAATATTTAGATATTTACTGCAATGGCCAAATTTTAGTACCGTGTTTTGTGAGGCAATGAGGACCATGGTGATAAGTGAACAACTTCTCACGGATTTTTGTGATGCATTACACTTGTCGGTGACTGAAAAAATTGGAATTGGCCTTGCTTTGGCTGACTCCGAGAATGTTGACATCAGGACAAGCGGTACATTATATGGATATATATATATATATATATTTTGTGGTATCCTTTCTTTGTGGTTCATCCGCTTTGCAGATTATGATTTGAATAACTGTTGATTGTTTCTCAGGCCAAAACTTCTGCATGGGCCAGATTGAGGAGTTGCGGAGAAATTCTGCTGTTATAGATTCTTCCGAGCAAATTCAAAATATTATTATGTTTTTGATTCGCTCAGAGGGCCTTTCTAAGCATGTTGACTCATTTATGCAACTACTGTCTTTGATGGAGCCAAAGGAGAGGACTCCACTAATATTAGCTCCATTGCTTTCTGATGATTTCTATGAGGCCAGGTTCTCATCTCTCCGCTATTTGTTCTCCTCTGATGAACCATGAAGTGATGAAATTTATTGTTTGCTATATTCTACAGTTTAGTTTAGTAGTAGCCCTCCTAATTGTCTCTGTGCCATTTGTGGTTGCTGTAGGAATATGGAGTTATTCTATGGTTGCAGAGAAAATGAGTTTGATGCCATTTTAGCGGAGATGGTGAGTGAAACCAGCATGGCTGATATTATGTCCGAACTGGGCTATGGATGCACTGTTGACGCTTCACATTGCAATGAGGTGTTATCTCTCTTCTTGCCTCTCACTGAAGCCACAGTTTCTAGAATTCTTGGCACAATTACTCGCACCCATACTGGTCTTGAGGACAACCAAAATTGTTGTTTAACATTCTACTCTGCCATTGGTAGCAGTGCCACATGTGAGGCATCATGCCTGAGCTCTTGCAATGTTCATGTCCTTGTGGATTCGATTAAGCAACTTGTAAGTTTGATTTGCAATTTCACTTCAAATGTTTATTATCTTCTGGTATTAAGAACGAGCCAAGGAAAAATTGGTTCTTACCTAGATTATTATTTTCTGAGAGCAGGCTCCTGACATCAACTGGATAAATGTTGTGGAGAATCTGGACCATGAGGGTTTTTACATTCCCAGTGAGCAAGCATTTTTTCTTTTCATGTCCATTTATCTTCGTGCATGTCAGGTATCATATTTATGCTTCTCTATTGGAGACTCAACACTTGTTACTTTCTGTGAAGTTAGTCCTTGATCAGTAGAAAATAATTTGTGCAGGATCCCTTTCCGCTGCATGCCATATGCAGGTCTGTCTGGAAGAATGTTGATGGTCAATTATCTTTTCTCAGATATGCTGTATCAGCATCACCAGAAATATTTACATTTTCTTGTTCTGCTAGGAAACTGGTATGGATTGCTGCATTTTCATGTCTATATATAGTTTTCTTAATTTGTTTTTGTTTTCTTTGCTATTTAAATTAAATGGTGTAAAATTTGTTTTTCTGTAGGCATGTGCTAATGGATGGAAAGTTAATGAGGTTCCACATGGACTTGCAAACCATGCATGGTTATCTCTTGACCTTCTGGAGGTGCTGTGTCAGCTAGCTGAAAGGGGCCAGGCTAAATATGTTCGACAGATTCTGGAGTTTCCTCTTAAACAATGCCCTGAGCTTTTGTTGCTTGGGATTGCCCAGATTAATGTATTTTCTTCCCATTTTTATTTCTCTATTCTTTTGATAATATGTTTGGTAAGTGATGAAATCATGTTATGCCTTTGCAGACTCCCTATAATCTGCTCCAATGGGAAGTGTTTTCCACAGTTTTTCCCATCATAGTTGGTGATGCTGCTGGAAGTGGTATCATGCTTCAGCTTTGGCAATCTAATACCAAGCTCGTGTTGCGAGGATTCATTGATACGATGAAAACAGATCAAGGCAACATTGTTACAGTTTTGGAAATCTGCCAGGAGCTGAAGGTAAAATTGATGTTGGCTTGGTATTGATTTCCTTCTGCACAATAGCTATCTCTTGTTCTTCGTTTGCTGAGTAACTGTTTGAAAGCTTTTTAATACTATTCACTTGTGATGTTACTTTTTTCGTTTCATATGATGCCTAGCGTGATTGATGTCATTAGATGTAATTATTTTTTCTCCCACCAAGTATAATCACTTTCTTTCTTCTTATTTTCATTTTTTAATAATTCTGTGCTTCATGAGTCACACCTTTGTCAGGCTATGTTTAGTATGGCTACCTTGTTATGACTTCACTCCGGGCTTACTGAAAATGCAACCCAGAAGCGTGCACTTTAAGCCTTTAAAAGTGAAGCAAAACAGAACTTCTGAACTTTCCATAAATATTCTATGGGTGCCATTGCTGTTTGGGTGCATATTTGGAGGCAAGATAAACTTGTAAGAAGTTGTAGGCAGTGTTGTTGGGCACGATGAGAGAAAACTGGTTTGGATGGCTTGGCTATGTTTAGTATGGCTACCTTGTTATGACTTCACTCCAGGTTTACTGTCCCAAAGGACAAAATGCAACCCAGAAGTGTGCACTATAAGCCTTTAAAAGTGAGGCAAACAGAACTTCTGAACTTTCCATATATATTCTATGGGTGCCATTGCTGTTTGGGTACATATTTGGAGGCAAGATAAACTTGTAAGAAGTTGTAGGCAGTGTTGTTGGGCACGATGAGAGAAAACTGGTTTGGATGGCTTAGCCATGTGTTGCAAACATTGTAAGTGTACCGGCAGGAAAGGGTGATATGGTTCAGATCGAGGGTGTTGCAAATAAAGGTCACTGGGTGGGAGTAGTGAGGAAATAAGGAATTGCGTATCTTACCATTACTCTTGAAATTTCATTGAATGGTAAATGGATTGCATTCTATTGGAACCCAGCTTTTTATTCAAAATCACTGCTGAAACTGCTTCACCGGTTGTTTTGCTGTATTCTGCCAAAGTGTGGTTTTGGTTCTTTCTTTGATTCTCTTTTCTTTCAGTTTGATATCAAGTAAAACTGCTCTCATTGTAAGTGCTATCTGCTAGTGTCTGTTTCTCTAACTTCTGTTATATTTTTTGATCATATTACAGATTCTGTTGTCTCTGTTGGAGCAGATTCCATTTTATTTTAGCATTCAACTGGCTGCTCTTGCTACACAGAAGGAATACATAGATCTTGAGAAATGGTTGAATGATAATATAAGAACTCACAAAGATGTATTCTTCGAGGTTGGTTTTTTTAATTCTTTTTAATTGTTGATGATAGCTGATAACCACAACAATGATGCCAAGGTCAGTTTTTTAATTATTTTTTTTGAATGCAACAAAAATCATGGAGACTATTCTATAACACATTATACTCATATTGCTATTGTCAGGCATGCCTGAATTTTGTAAAGGAGATACTTTTCCCTCCAGAAGATATCTCTGCCAATTCCTTCCAACATTCTGGTGCTCTTGCAAATTTAAATGTCAGAATAAGTCCAAGGTTTTTAAAGGTTCTATTTTTTTGCCTCAGTTGTGTTAGATGCTATTTATCTTCCTTGCTTTCTTCATGCATTTGGTGGCTTGTAAGTTGTAACATACATTATTTTTCAGGCCCTTGAAGATAATAATGTACAGATTACCTCTGAGAAGCTCTCTGAGGAACTGAAATGGTTGTGCAAAGCATCCAAATATGTTGGTCTAAGACTTCAGAATGTTGAGAATTCAGAAACATTGACACCCAATGGATATTCAAATGACACAGAGGCAGACGCAAACACTTACTTGGATCAATTATTTGATGGTCGGCTGTCTATTGATGATATGGTTCAAATACTTGCTCGTTTCAAGGAGTCATCTGAGAGAAGGTAAATTGTTATTTTGTTTTTCTAAAGTAATCATAATGAGTGCGTGAAAACTTCTCTTTGCATGGCTTTGGTTGTTTGTGGTGCCTTCCTGTTCTGATATAGCACTTATTTTCATGGCTTATTGTTATGTGTCTAATCTGTGACTCTGTATTTCTTATTATCACCTCAACCCTGATAAAGAATGTGCAAATTTTTTTATTTATTCAAATATAACTAATATATTTGCATCTAGGATTCTAACTTTGACGGGGTGAAAATAGATACAACTCCTAATTGGAAAAAAAAAAAAAATGGTGTAAAAGCTCAATATCGATTTCTAACACAAAAAAAAGTAAATAATATCAGTATTAACTAGACATTCTTTGTCAACATAGTTGACTACAAAACTAAAATCATACAGTTGAATATATTCTTTTGTCTGCATTAACTTACAAAAAATACTAACTATTACTATATGTTCTATCTACTAAAGCTAGGCATTTGAAAACTTTGTGCTCAACACTTTTTATGACATATAAAACATCTATGATAGGCTCAAGTCAAAACCTCAAGCAATGTCTTTCTCAATATATGTTATTAAGTAACTTGTTTAGTCTTGACAAGTTTCATAGTTGAAATTGTACATTCCTAGGGGTGGTTGTAACAGGTAAAATTAACATAAGAGGATAATTCATTTCAATAAGTAATATCAAGTTTCATGAACTCATTGTAAAAAATGTCATGTCAAATGCAGACGTTATTCCCGTTTGCCGAGGATGAACAAACAAGAATGGATGCAAAACAAGTAGCATAAGCAAATTAAAGTGTGATGTATAGAAAAAAAAAACATAAATGAGACAGACAAAACAAGAATGGTAACAAAACAGGACAAAAAGAATAATATAAACAACTCTAAACTATATATATATATATAAATGACAAATAACATACATAGCAAACACAATGGACCAATATTTGATAAAACTCAACTGGAAAACTATTGAATTTTTTTAGTTTTATAATTAATTTGGGGTAGTGAACCTCTATAGGTTTGGGGTGTGAAACACTCTAATTTTTTTTTATCAAAGAACGTGAAAAAGGGTTATTTATTTATTTATTTATTTATTCAAATATAACTAATACAATTGGGCATTGTTTTTTATTTATTTATTTATTTTATTACTAATACAATTGCATCTTCAATGTTTTTTTTGATAAGAACATTTAATTAATGAAAAAGAAAGCACCACAAAAGAGGCGCACCTTGTACATGGTGTATAGAAACACAAAACATATCCTTCCTACATTTCTATATGGATGTACAAATCTACCAAAAGTCATCAAAATCATTTAAAGGTAAAGGAAAAGACTCCCAAGCGAAAAACAAGGAGATGTCATTTGGTTTCATTTGTGATTGCTTTAGAAGATGTCACAATCTATTTCTTTAGTTGCTTGAGCATCTCTCTGTACTCTGATGAATGAAAGCAGAACACTTGAGAGTGGCTGGTTCCCATTCATTATATGAGGTTTCATTCTTATCAAAATTTCTAAGTTTTGCATCACATGGGTTCTCAAGTAATGTTTACCTATTGTTTTGAAGAAAGTTCTGAATGACAGATTGATTTTGTCTAATTTTTGTCTGAAGTTTGACAGGGCTATCTTTGTTGTCGTAAAATTCTTGTGTTTTTGTCTGGGTTCAATTCCACTGTTAACAAATTCTTTGTCAAAGATGTTTCTTCAGTGTACCAGCATCAGAGTTTCATATCATTAAATTCAATTAGCAAGTAATTTTAATGAGTTCATTCATGTTTCTTGAGAAGCTAAAAATGACATTTATGTTTTAACCTTTAACTTGAGAAATAGTGTTCTGAAAAGATGTATTGTAAATTGGCAGGGAGCAATTGATTTTTGAGTGCATGGTAAAAAATCTATTGGAGGAGTACCAGTTCTTCCCTCAGTATCCAGAAATGCAGCTTAAAATTGCAGCCATTCTAGTTGGTATGATTAATTATACTCTTTCTAGATTTTTTCCCCTTCTTGCTAAGGTACAAGAGGAAGGGGAAAAGTTGACACGGTAGAGACATGAGTAACAAGGCATAGTACAAAACAAAAGTTAGGCACTGCTATAGGGCTGTCATCAAGTAAAATATAAGGTGGCTTCACCCATTCAGAAATTAGGCCCTTTTGGAGGTGTTTCTTGTAGTTGCTGAGAATTACTTTCTCTTTGGGAGTGATCTTTAATGGCCCAAGTTCTTGATAGAACTGGATGTGCACGACCTCTGGCAGGTGGTCCAATGGACCATCAAGGTACCGTAGAGATCAAGAAAAATTTAATGTGTAGTAATTTCCTAGTTAAGTATTTAAATGGCATCGTTCTACCCAAAATTTTGTATTTGGGAATAAGATTATCAGTCCAATTGTTGGAATAATGTGGCCTGTAGACCACAAATCTATTTCATCATCAAGGTTAATGCACACAAATATGTGACCTAATTGTCAATACTATTGGAATAAAGTGAATGAGAATTCTATGTCCACAGATATCGAGTAACTTCTTTGTTACAATTTAAGGATTGCTGTTTTGCTTATTGTATGTCCAATTGTCCATATCTTCAACATAAAAGATTTTTAAATGTCTGATAGAAACCTACACTGACTGAAAAAAGTCGGGTCATTTTGGTCAGTTTTGACTGTCAAATGGCCAATTCTGGGAAACTAGAAGTAATCATGAGCTTAAAAAATTATAGGGTGGTAGATGCAAAGCTATTAAGAGGTATTAATTACCTTACCTATCATTTAATAGGTATTAATTACCTTACCTATCAATTAATAGGTATTAAACACTAGGATGAAACCCATTAATTACAAATATTCAAGTATAAACTATTAATAGGTATAAAATATTTATACTCTGTTGCATATGCAACTAAACAATAAACATTAACACTGACCTTATTGCCAAAGCTATTTTGGTTGGTTCCAGAGCACAATACAACATCTGTTTGATGCATTGACAAGGCTGTATTTTGTTTTGGACCTTGCCAAAATTTGTCTGGAAATAGGTTCACCCAATATTAGTCAGGAAAAGAATTGTTGTAATGTATGTCTTTTACCTTTTTTTGGTTTATATAACCTGATGCTTCTTGATTACTTTCCAGGTTCCCTAATAAAGCATCAGCTTCTGAGTAATCTTACACTTAGTATAGCTGTACATACTGTGTTGGAAGCATTGCGTAAACCTCCAGACACGAAAGTGAGTTTTTAATCTTTCATGTTTGGCTTTTATCTTTAGCTTGCAATAAATTTTAAAAAATAAAATAAAATAGAAAGCTAATAATGTTCTCCCCTCCTAGGTATTTGCTTATGGAATCCTGGCTTTGGAGCAGTTTCTTGACTACCTGGTGGATCTTCCACTGCTTTGCAATCATATTTTGCAAATATCTCATTTACATGGTACTCATGTAGAGCTTATTGCATTTATAGAGCATACTCTGGCTAGAATATCATCAAGCCACTTGATATCAAATGGAGGCAGCAGTTCTTTTACTGATCCCCACAGTGGTTCTATTCCCACTACAGTGGAGATGGTGGAGGTATAAAATTAGTTTCTTCTATTGACCCATGCAATGTATTTAGACCCCATAAACACCAATCAGTTTGATAAATTTATTTCTTGTTGGATTGACTTTAGTTGAACTATTATTGTGTTTGATATTTTTTGTTAGAATGGAATGTTATTTTAAAGCCCTAACATGCTTCAATCTTCTTCAAGATCCCTTCTTGTTCTCCGCCTTCTTTTCTTGTCGCCAGTAGTGCTAGAAGCCATAGCTGGCTTCAATAAAAGAGCCTTGTTCTTTTAATTTATTATGATGTTCTATAAAATTGTTATGGTATTATGAAGAATGGATGTACTTGCAATTATCTTACTTAGTCAAGTAGGGTTACAAGAAAATTCAACCTGATCTTCTTAAATGCTTATGTAAAAGACATATAAGACAACTGAGAAAAAGAAAACACACACACACACAACATATATATTTCTGTGTCTTCATGTACAGCCATGTCCTTCGTAGATTGAGTTGAGGTGGCTAGTCATTGCAAATAAGACCAATGACTACACCAATAAGTAGGGTTGTCTTCATACTCCCTATCAATAATTTGTTTCCAATCAAGCTGTTAATTTTTCTTGAAATACATTTTAGGATTGGGGAATTCTTGAGCATGTAGAAGATTAAATGATCTTTAAAGTGCTGCTTTGTATTTGTGCTATTAGTTGGAGTCTTCCATGCCGTACCAAGTTGTTTTCAGTGACCCCATTTTCTGTGTATAGTTTTTTGCCTCGGATATGTCTGGTTGCATGTATTCTTACTTTTAGAAGATAGTGCCTCTGTGTTCTGTATTCTCATTTTCTGTGCTTGAGCTGCTTTAGTTTATTAAGCGAAGCATTCTCTAGCGGTTCGTGTTTTTGTTTTTATTTTTATTACATTAGATGCCGATTCCATGTGGCAGTTAGTGGGACCTAGGTCCTCACAGCATGGGAAGCAACTCTCTTCTTCCCTCCCGGTGCAACAAATACACCAAGGTTTACTCGGTGACAGGCATAAAGAACATTCCACTTCAGGCATCTTCTCAAAACCAATTTTACCTCCTGGGAATTCTTCAAATGTTTCCTTGGGTGATATTCCTAATCCTCAGAAGGTATTACATTGTATTTTTTTTTTTTTATGAATAAGTACGGAACTGTATCAGATGGACACCTAGGGGGTGTCACCCCTGTACAGCAAAAGAAAAAAAAATTAATTAGACACAAGAACCCCAAAACTAAATCCCTTCCCTAAAATGTAACTCCTACAATATCTACCAAAAAATAAAAAGTCTCCTCCAAAAATGAATAAATCGGATTGAAGTAAGCTTTATAGACGTCTGTACATCCTTAGAAGGCATTGTATGTATTGTTTTAAATAAAATTACTCTTTTATTGGTTTTATTTATTTATTTTAATTTACACATCTAAGATATTCTTTGCCTCCAATTGTCTCTCGGTCTTTACAAATGGTCTCATCACAGAATGCAACTGGCGTTCGGGCAGCTGTATTATCTTCTTCTTCTGGGTTTCTACATTCTTCCAGGGCAATTACTTCGAGTAAGTTATTTTATCGTGCTTGCCATTTTCGATATTAAATCCTCATTTCACCATGAAATCCCTTACTTTTCCTTTCTAGTGTTGATTTCTTGAGCATCCCATCTATGTAGGCATGCAACATTCATCTACTACAGGGTTTGGTTCTGCTTTGAACATTGAAACACTTGTTGCAGCAGCTGAGAGAAGGGATACTTCCATAGAGGTATTTTTTTGTCTATTGCTAAAGGTGCATCACCTTCCATAATCTGCTTATAGTGCTTGGTAAACATGAAATTATGACTGTCTTGGTCAAACTTGATCTGAATAGAACTTTCATTCAAATGCCACAGCCTGAAGATCCTCATGGCCATGTCTCCTTAGACAGAACAGTATTTTTTTTATTTTTTTATTTTTTAATGCAATAAAAAAACTTCTTGTGTGGAAATTGGCATGTGTTGTTTGAAAACATAAATTGTTCAATGCCGCGACAGGATCGGGTTAAAGCTTTGTGTGAATTGCCTAGCTTAGTGGACGGAGAGTGATATCATAATAGCTTATGTTTTTTATAAAGATAATTATGAATGAACAGAGTGTTAAGTTACTAGTTGTCCTAAATGCTTAATTTGTTAGGAAATTGGCCCAACAATGTATATCAAGTTATTCAACACTTAGGAGAAACTAGATGATAGAGAGTTTAGAGTATTGATTGATATGTGCATAATCAAATTCAGAAACCATGCTGACAATGAAGGTAATAAGAGGAGCCTGTGGCCAACCAAAAAAATAAAAAATAAAAAATAAAAATAAAAATGGAAGAAAAAGAGCAAAATGTGATCATAGTTGTATGCATTTTAAAAGATCAGCTGGCTCCATTGGCTCCTTTCTTACTTGGGTGTTTCGTTATTATCTCCTACTCCTCTCTATTGTAATTTGTGATTGTAAGAGTGCCATCTAGATTGCTCACAACTCTATTTTCCATGAGCACACAAAGCATTCCTGTAAAACATCGCTAACCTTATAGATGTTCTTAAAATGTAAATATAATACACAGAACTATTAAAATTTCATAGGACTTGGATTGTAATTGGATCAGATGTACTAAAATTGAGTTCAATCCATTATAATTGGATTTTGTGCTATCAAGTCAAGTCTACTCTAGCATCAAAGTAGGTTTGGGATCATAATTGGATTTGATGAACATAAATTTGAATATATCAATTATAATTTTTTTATTGAGTTGAATTGAAACCAATGAATCTTTTTTTCTTTGATCGTCTTGAAACCAATGAATCTAATTCAACATCGTAATGAGGTTTTAATTGGATCTTGATCTACCATTGACAACCATACTACTAAGCATAAAGAGGATGGTACATTTAACTTAAGTGAGTGGAGTTAGTTTTTAGATCCTGCATGTTGTGGTTCTTCTTCAGAATCATGTTTGGGATCATTTGAGTTTGGTATTATCTTCTATCATCATCAACCTGGACACCTAGAACTGAACCCTGTTAGCCAAATCATGTCTTTCTTGAGAACTTAAAACGATGAGCTTTCAACAATTAAGAAAGAAAATGAATCCTATGTGGGAAGTGTCAAATTTACACATGAGAAAGAAGAAGAATAGAGGAAGAATAGAAGAAGAGAGGAAGAGAGTGTACAGCTGAAGAGAACAGCTAGAGTTGTATTAACACTGATTTAATTATTAGGGTTCTCCCCTTTCACAAGTATTTATAATAATAGGCTAAAGACATAAATTACATAGCCCTTAGGGACAAATAAACACTTGACACTCCCCACTCAAGTTAGTGTAAATATATCTCTTATGCCCAACTTGCAACAAATTGGATGAAAATCCTTTCTACTAAAACCTTTAGTAAACACATCAGCCAATTGATCTTCAGACTTCGTCTCAATATCCTCGGTCATATCATGTTGGACCGGATTGTGAGCAATACTGATGACAGCTTTGTTGTCACAAAACAGAGAGTCATAGGATCACCGCAAACAATTCCTATATCACCCAACAAGGACTGAAGCCACATGAGTTCACGAGTATCATGCGCTATAGCTCGGTATTTTGCCTCCGCACTAGACCTGGATACCAGCGTTTGCTTTTTACTACGTCAAGTGACTAAATTTTCCCCAACAAAAGCACAGTAACCAGAAATAGACCTTCGGTCATCCACAGAATCTGCCCAATTTGCATCTGTAAATGCCTCCAACCTCAAGCGACCATGATTAGAAAACAAGATTCCTTTTCCTAAGCTGATTTCAGGTACCTCAAAATGCAATACACAACATCCAAATGTGTTGCACGAGGATCATGCATAAACTGACTTACTATCCCAACTGCATATGCAATATCTGGTCGAGTGTGAGATATATAAGCCAGCCCATAAGTCTATGGTATCTTTCCTTCTTAACAGAGTTACCAACCCCACTGCAAAGATGATGATTAACCTTAATAGGCAAATCAACTAGTTTACATCCTAACATGCTAGTTTCCTTAAGAAGGTCTAGAATATACTTCCTTTGAAAAATGTAGATGCCTTTGTCAGATCTAGCAACTTCAATCCCAAGAAAGTACCGCAACGGGCCAAGGTCTTTGATATCAAATTCTTTGACCAACTACATTTTCAAATGTGTCATGTTCTCCTTATCATTCCCTGTGACGACTATGTCATCCACATACACAATAAGCACAGTTACCTTATTTCCATTTCGTTTAACAAACATGGTATGATCAAACATGGTATGATCTGCATTGCTTTTCTTATATCCAAATCTCAACATAGCCTTTAGAAATCTATCAAACCATGCCCTAGGAGACTATTTCAAACCATATAAAGCCTTCTTCAATCTACAGACTTTTCCAACTGTAAACTGAGATGAGAATCTCAGTGGCACATCCATATATAGCTCTTCCTCCAATCACCGTGAAGGAATGCATTCTTTACATCTAGTTGCTATAAAGTCCACCCCAAGTTAGCTGCACATGAAACAAGAGCTCAAATGGAATTCATCTTTGCTACAGGAGCAAAGGTTTCTTGATAATAAATTCCATACGTCTGGGTGAACCCCTTCGCCACTAATCCTACTTTGTACCATTCAATTGTCCCATCGGCTTTCTGCTTGATAGTGAACACCCACTTACATCCCACTGTTTTTTCCTATTAGGAGGAGGAACCAACTCCTAAGTATTATTCTTGCTCAGAGCTTGCATTTCCTCTACCATAACTCTTTTCCACTTAGGATTATTAGCAACTTCTTTCCAACCCTGTGGGATACACACAGAAGACAGAGACGAAACATGAGCACAATATACAAGACACAATGAATCATATGTCACAAATTTAGAAATGGGGTGTTGAGTACAAGCCCTAACCCCCTTTCTAAGAGCAATAGGGAGACTCAAATCATCAACAACAAGACTGTCAACTATTGGCGAAGAGATAGATTGAGGTGTATTGCCTATAGAAGAGCTCGAAATAGGATCTGAAACTAGGAATGGCAATGGGGGGCAATGAGCACAATATACAAGACACAATGAATCATATGTCACAAATTTAGAAATGGGGTGTTGAGTACAAGCCCTAACCCCCTTTCTAAGAGCAATAGGGAGACTCAAATCATCAACAACAAGACTGTCAACTATTGGCGAAGAGATAGATTGAGGTGTATTACCTATAGAAGAGCTTGAAATAGGATCTGAAACCGGCATAAGGAGCGGTGATTGACTTGGTGCCACACATGAAGTCTGCTCTTTTTAACGCCATGAATAAGTCTTAAGATATGCCCTGTCCAAACGACCACCAATATCAGGTTCATTATCAATAACACCCTGAGGCTCCCCCTCACCACAAGGCTCCTCCTCACCACAAATAACAGCTCGTTGGCTAAGAAGGAGAAAGGATAACTCAAGCTGATAAGACATCACCTCATCCACAATCTCTTCCATAGCACTCTTTATATAATTTAAATAAAGATAAATGAGCCGAGCTTATGCGAGCTCGAGCTCGGCTTGTTTACTAAATGAGTCTAATACTCTAGCTCGAGCTCGGCTCATTGACTAAACAAACCGAGCCGAGCCGAGCCGAGTTTGTTCATGAACAGCTTGGTTCATTTGCAGCCCACTTTACGAGTGTGAGGATCATAGCATTTGTAACCTTTATGAGTGGCAGAATAGCCAATAAAGACACAATGCACAGCCATAGGATCAAGCTTCCCATGGGTACGAGGTTGTAGATGAACAAAACATACACACTTAAAAAACCCGAGGAGGAAGAGAAGAGGTGGGATAAACTACAGGCAAAAGTTTAAGAGGAATCTAGAATTGGAGGACACTAGAAGGCATACGGTTGATAAGGTTAGTAGCGGTAAGCACAACATCGCTCTAAAAAGAATTAGGGACATTCATAGTAAATAAGAGAGAGCAAGCAACTTCAAGAAGATGGCCATTCTTGCGTTTGGCAACTCTATTTTGCTGATTGCCAACACAACTACTTTGATATAAGATGCCATGCTTCTCTAGGTATGCTCGAAAAACTCCATCAACATATTCAGTCCCATTATCTCTTCGAAGAATTTGGATTTTAGTATTAAAAAGATTGGTCACCATTTTATGAAACATTTGGACGCAAGAAAACAATTCACTTTTAGTTCAAAGCAAGTAAATCCAAGTCACACGGGAATAACAATCAATAAAAGTAACAAACCATCGAAACCTAGAAGTAGAAATCACAAAGGAAGGGCCCCACACATCGGTATGAATAAGCATAAATAGAAAAGTACTTTTATTAATTGAAGGATAACAAGTACGTTTATGCTTTGCAAGTTCACAAGCATCACAACTAAAATTATTCTTAGGACAATCACGAACTAAAGAAGGAAAAAACTTCTCTAAAATACTAAAAGAAGGATGACTCAAACGACGATGCCACTGATGAAGGAGATGAAGGGAGGAGCCAATAGTGCACTAAAGAGCCTGGGTAGAGGACAAATGTAATATAGGAGGGACGGCATCCAGAATGTATAGGCCACCATATGCTCTACCACTGCCAATCATTTTTCCCGTAACTAGTTCCTGAAGGACACAATGGGTAGGAAAAAATGTCACTGAGCAATTTAGAGAAGTAGTAAGGCTACTAACAGAAAGTAAGTTAGTAGAAAAATTAGGAATATGAAGCACAGACGAAAAAGAAAGTAAAGAGGAACAATGAACAA